TGGTGGTTTATTGTGTGGAACCACTGAGATAATCGATTATCTTAAGTGATAATCGATTATTATAGTGTATTTTGTGTGTGTTTTTCGGGAATAATCAATTAGCACTTATGATAATCAATTATCCGAGAATATTTTTACTAGAAATAGTTCATTTTGATAAAGAATAGACATGGACCAAGCTTGAGGGCTGTGGAATATGATGGTAATCATAGATTGAGATTATGGTTATGATTAAGGTCAGGGTTGACTTGTGGTTGATATTGGAGCATGAGTGAAAGATGGAATGCATTAGAGTGTGTGTAGTTAGTGAGCATGGGGCTTGGGGGATTACTCTACTTGTTGTACCTAGTAAATCCTGGTTTTATCTGTGAATAGGTGCTCCCTTTGGCATTGGTTGTTGAAAAATGGGTGACTCTCTTTGGCATTGGTTGTTGAAAAGAAAGTAGCATTCTCTTTGGCAAATAGTTGTAGAAAAGAGAATGGTATTCGAGTGGTTCTTTTGTGATTGGGATAGATGTTCTGCCTTGTGTGATAGGGAAATAGGTCCGAAGCCAGAAGAAGGATGACTCAGGTGTATTTGTATGGAGAAGCTACAGATTGGGCTGTAAGAATGACTACAGTCGGTGAGGTAAGGTACAAGACTGTGACTGAGTCTTGTCATGATAAAGTTCATGGTTTGGTAATGCTATGGTATGAGTCATGATTGGGAAAGTCATGATAGTGATGTATCTATGATAATAATCATGGTATTCGAGATGTTCCAAGTGACGTTATGTTGATATTGGTATTACTATATATAATGGTTATAGTAAGTAGTTAGCGTAAGTGTTAATGAGTAGATAGACCAAGGGTCTATGTGTAAGATATTAGTGATGACATCAAGGGTTAGGCTTTGTTCTTTTGAGGTGATTTGGGGGAGATGATTTGGGATAGATGATTTGAATGGATTTGAGTAGATTTGAGGATAATTTTTTTTGTTGTTTTTTTGAGTGGATTTGTGGGTAATTGAGAGTGAATTTGGAAGTAAAGTTTGTGAGAATTAGTGTAGGATTTGATTGATGTGACAAATTTAAAAAAATTGTTTAATTGTTAAAAATTAAATATTACCAAAATGTCCCTAGTTATTAAAGTAATATAAAATGATAATTTTTAATATTATATTTAAGTGAAAAAAATGTTTATAAAGAGTAAAAAATTAATATTAATTATTAGAATTAATTTTAATATTGTATAAAAAAAATTATTTTAGTAAAATAAATTTATTTTTAGTTATAATATTTTTGTAATATTATTTATTACAAAGTGGTATGATTTTATTTTGTTTGTTAACAAAATGAAATTGAATATTTTTAAAAAAAGAAATAATTAAACAAAGATAGAATATTACATTAGATAAAAGTTTTAATTTTTGTGGTGATTTTGAATTGACAATTTCACAACCCAAATGCATAGACTTTTAGATCCATTACAAAGTATTTTAACCTAATAACGTTTTTCATTGACATGTCGTACTAATATTCTACATAAAAGGTTTGATTATGTTTAATGGATGATATTTGATTTAGTAATTAAAAGTAGTCAAAGGATTAAAATGGGTTAAAAAAAATATTAAACAAAATAAGAGTCTTATGTGTCGCCACATAATTAATCACAAAAATTAATAAAATAATAAACCATGACTAAAACGAGGAACGCATTTTTTATTTTTTATTTAGAGAAAATAGTATGCTCTCACTACACTGAAATTTTGCTTTGTTTGGTTCCATTTCAACTGCAACTACCACTGGAAGGTGAAAGGTGGCGGAGGAGAAGCCAAACGGAGAAGGAGAAGAAGCGAAAGAGGAGAGAAAGGAGAACTTATACGACGTCGTTCAGCGTCTCATCTTCGAACCTTCTAAGATCAAGGCCACCCTCGTCCCTCTCTTCCCCGAAGCTTCTAGAAACTACTCTCGCCATTTCTACAATCGTCCAACTTTTCTTTTTCTTTTGCCACCTCTTCTCTCTTGTACTTGAAGCTCGAAAGCAACTGTCTCTGTCGGTTCTCCAAGCTCCTTTTTATCTCCGAAACCCCTTCAATATTTGTTCCCACACCATTGGGACTCGACCCCGGAAGCTGCGACAGCGAGTGGTAGCGTTTCAGGAGGAAAACGTTGTATACGGCCAGCACTATGGCGGCGGTTCCCACCACCACAAGACCTGGTAGTACAACATGGGCATGCTATTGTTGTTGTTGTCGGAAGAGGAAAGCGCGGAGGAGGGGATGAAACTGTGAAAGGGCTTAGAAGGAAACGAATACGTGATATTTGGAACCGGATACATGTGTTTTGCAATTTCTGCTACAAGCTGAAACCGGATATATGTCATAAGGGAACCGAATGCACGACCATCTTCTTGAACAACAATAACTTAACTCTTTTTCAACCGCTGCTTCAAGCTCCTTCTTCGTCATTCATGAACCCCTTTCTTCGTCATTCCAACATGCAACAACCACACCAAAATCTGAAAGAAAGATTACTCAGATGAGAGAACATATGCAGCTAGTATTATCACATGTATTAAGGATAAAAAAGTCATTTGTCTTCGATTCATAGTAAATCTTCTCAGAGGTGATACAAAACGAGGTATCCTGCAGATCTCCTCAATTCCGTAGTCGCAAATTCATGAAAGTGAATAAAGTTGTTGTTTGGATTCATCGCTATGCGAACATAGCGTTAGTTATCAAATAGCAAGGATCGAGTATCAATGATGAAGTAATTCATTATGATTAAATTATTTATATTAGAGGATTAGGAATGTTATAATTATTACTATGATGTATATAATATTTAATTATTGTTGATATAATCAATATATTTATATCTTGTTATTACGATTGTTTTATCGGTAATTATCTCATACGTGTTTATGTTTATGTGTTTAAGAATGATATTATCGCGGTGATCTTGTAATATGTTATAGGCGAAAGATGATATTGCAAATGATATTATAGATATTCCAAAAGCATGATAAATTCATAAGATAACAGAAAAAAGTTGGATTCTTTTAAAAAGTTTTTTTGATATAGACTTTTAAAACGATGTAATTGTAATTGTTTTATTTTCTTAGTCAATTTTAAATATTTTTAGAATAATATAATTAAATATGACTTTTGGAAACAAATTATGCATGTTTAAAAGTTAAGATTTGTTTTAAAAAGTCACACTATAAGAAAATTTATAAATATTCAGCTTTTTATAAATTCGTGACATCCTAAGATTTAAAACGCTACACATACAATAAAAATGATGCTGGCAACCTAATTAGGGAAAAAGACTAGAGAAAACTTTCAAACTCTTGTAAAAAAATATCAATTATCTTGTCATAAAACTAATAAACCAATAATTGATTATAGCTCGATGCTAAAATTCAATTTTTTCACTATTCTAAACAAGATTTTCAAAAATATAAATGTTGACAACGACTATAATCTCATATAATGACAAAATATAAAGGACAAAAGGCCGAAAGGATATTCACTTATTCTATTCCATATGCCTTTCTAATAATTGAATATCACAATTAATTATCATAAAAGAAATATGTTTTCTCCATAAACTTTATAGAATAATCTATTATTATAAATACGCAATATTGTATTATTAGAAATTGTAATTGATTATTCTGATCTAATTTTAGAATGGATCTTTTTCTTAGTGGATTAGTGCTTCTTTTTATACAATGAACAAAGTTCTATGTTATCAAGCAAAAAGGTTACGAAAATTAATTACGTAATAAACTTAGGTTGATGTGGTTTAAATTTCTGTAAGTATGTTCTAAGATGGTGCTACTAAAATTTGGAGTTTAGTTCAAACTATTAGGTTTAATACGAGAAATGTTTTTCATCTCTAAGATATATGTTTCTCATTCTTTGTGATCTTTAGAAAATATATGGTTACTCAAAGGAGGTATGTTCTCATCCTTTGAGGTTTTGCTTTTCCTTTTCTTAATTATTTTGTTGCATATTTTATTTTGTATTAATGATTGTAATAATCAATTTAGAATAATAATTTATAATCTTGAAGATAATCGCAAACTCTGATGTTTGTAATTACAACTCTACGAATTTAAGGTATTCTAAATATAAATTTCCAATAGCTAAAAAGTTTGAAAAATCAAAATCTTACCTTCAATTCACCTTATTCCACCTTCTCTTTTAGTGTAAGATACTGCTATGCCACTATGCATTTGTGTTCCATTACAGACACTGAGACGAAGATTTCACGTGACTGGATTCAAACAGGGGAAGAAAACAAAGTTTAAGAAAATAAATTATCCATATTAAATTAACTGAACACTATGATAATAATAGTACTATCCAATCAAAATAGTAACAATTTTTTATTTCACTATTGCATAGATGTATGAAGAAATTATCTTCCCATTTTCATGTCTTGGTATGAATTTTAATTTGCAAATAACACATTCGGGTACGGGATTTGACAATTTTCACAAATTAATTTCTAATTCTTCTGAGAAAAGCACCGCGGAAAGGAAATGTCGTTACGAGAGAATGGCAAGCTAAATTCAACGTTACCAATTTGAAAAACTGAAAAACTTTGAATGATGTTAGTTTTGGGCCAACAATCAACTTTAACTCTTATCTAGTACGCACCAAAGTCAAGCAAATGGAAGAGCATACGACATTAAAAAACGCTTTTATTAACAATAATGAAAATTTTAAAAACAGAAAACACAGGATAAGTTAAATTTTGAAATGGGCATGCCTACAACAGTAAAAATGTCACGGTTTTAAAGAAAGCCCCTACCGTATATGAATCGGTCCAAAAAAGTGTAGGCTCAATATATCTCTACATTAAAAATGTTTAATATTACTAATACACAATAGTGCAACTGTTCACTGTTAGATATTTGATTAATAAAAACTTTTAACCAATATATTTACTTATCTCAGCTAGACTAGGTAAACGGGGGAAAAACAATATTATATAAAATAAAATCTGAAGTAATTCGCAAAATTTTTTATTAATAACTTCAAAAAATATAGGCATGGGGTGCATCACTATCTGATTCATAACACTACTACAGGTATCCATCGTCCATTTGGACTCACTGCTACAAATAAAATGGCTACCAAATTCTGCATTTCATCCGGAGAAAAAAAAATCTGTTCTCACTGAACTTCCCCGTGGATCTCTACAGACCATATCCTGGACAAAACAAACCAAAGGTCAGATGTACGCGCCGGATACCTGAAATCTCTAGACTTTTGTTATGAAAAACAAACTGGAATTTAAGATTCCTGTTGGAGATACACACTAGCCCAAATACACCATAGTATACAAATAGATATAGTCCGTTTGAAACTACATACCTGAACCGTCCATGGGGTTTCCAGCAGGTACGGGCTCAGGTTCCTTTATCTCAACAACCACGCAATCTGACATTAAGAAGGTCTTCGCAACAGAGGCTGCATGTTCCAAGCAACATCTGACGACCTGTGCAAAGGATGCTTGAGAACTCAGCTTCAAATCACACATAACATTATTACATAGACGATGATTACAGAAACATGCCGCATGGCCTTGCTTCAGATGTAATAGGATGTACTGATGCATCTCCAGACAGACACGAGAAAAAGTTACAAGTAGAGATCCAATTTTTGATTTATGATAGACAAATACAAAGTAGGAAAACAATGTTCTAAAAATGTGCACAACTCTTCATAGACATTGTGGGCGGAGAGAGATAAATCGGCATTCGTACAAGAATATCCACTTACACCCATGTATGAACACATGTATTATTTCGAAAGCTCAGGTTTAGCACGAACACGAAAAAAAAAACAGGTCCCAAGACCTATGTTTTGAAAGTCATTCAGAAAGTTCACACCATCACATTAAAGCAAGCCAAAGGTAAATTAGTCAGTAATTTAGACCTGCAATTACAGTTTACTTGCAATCTGTCACACAAGTAAAATTAAAACAAATGATATTCAAACACCAAATCACCTTTGTTGGGTCAATGATCCCAGCAGACATCAAATCTTCATAGTTCCCAGTGGCAGCATTATATCCATATCTTGGATTGTCGCTGGACAATACCTAAACCACAACACAAGTCACATCAACCACATCGATAGAGAAAGAGAAAGAGAAATTGTAAATGGAGCAAATATTAGTACCTTCTCGCTGACAACGCTACCATTGACACCAGCATTCTTGGCAATTAATTTCAGAGGGTAACTAAGAGCTCTTTTTACAATATCAGCCCCAACCTGCAACAGTTAAACACAATTTTATAGCCTTATCAAGAGCATTCCCAGCACCCAGACAAAAGTATTAAACCAGATTCACGAAACGTGTATTCTTTCCCTATCAAGTAAATGACTCACTTTTTCTTCATCATTATCAAGACTATCCCTGATTGCATCCACCTTTGATGCAAGTCTCAGCAAAGTGCAGCCACCTCCAACTACAATACCTTCCTCTACAGCTGCCTGAAAGTCAACAAACTATTTAGCTTACAGAAAAGGAATACAAAAAGTTCTAACTGTTTTGGGAAAGAAAAGGGCACCTTTGTGGCATTAAGAGCATCTTCAACTCTCAATTTCTTTTCCTTGAGCTCTGTTTCGGTTTGTGCGCCAACCTACACATGTAGAAAAATGTCCCTAATTGATAAACCTTCCATACCAACTACAATATGAACACATTTTAGTGAGTCCATTACCTGTATCACAGCCACACCACCAGACAATTTAGCAATTCTCTCATTCAGCTTTTCTCTCTCATAATCTTGCTCTGCAGCCTGTATCGCAAATAATCGTATTGTTAGAACATGAAGAATGAAGCTGCCACATACTATCTCATGTGCACGAAATTTCACCCAGTGCACATAAAAACTAACTATATGATATTAGTCTTGCTTTCTGTGAAATTTCTTAAGGAGATCCAGCGCATGCCACGTTTGCATGTGCTAACAATATGGTGGAAGAGGAAGAAAGTGAGGGGGAAGAAAGAAAGACCTCAATTAGGTTCTTAATTTGTGCAACTCTCTTGTTCACTGCCTCCTGGGTACTTCCATCACCAACAATTGTTGTTGTATCCTTGGTGAGTACCACCTTGGACGCAAAACCGAGAACCTCTTTCCCAGCTTTGTCCAAAGAAAGGCCAACCTCTTCTCTGATTACAGTACCTGTAAAACCAATTGAGAAAACACATTCTTATCAACATCAGGAAACAAAAAGAGGATAGAAAACACATATCCATTGCCAAAAAGACATGAAAATTCTAAATTTCCAGACCTCCAGTCAAGATTGCAATATCATCAAGGTACTGGCTCTTGCGTTCTCCAAATCCAGGGGCCTTAAGTGCTGCAATCTTCAGTGACCCTCTAAGTCTGTTCACCACAAGAGTTGCTAGAGCTTCCTGTTCAATATCCTCCGCAATAACCAATATAGGGTATCCACTTCTAATAGCATCCTCTAGTATGTTGAAAAGGTCCCTAGCATTGGTTATTTTTTTGTCAACCAACAGCAGCTACACAACATACATTACAAAATTAAAACTACAAGGAATTAAAAAATAAAAATAAGTTACAACGAGCACAGTCAGATGTCACACCTTACAGTTCTCATACTCAACCGCCATTTTCTCACTGTCAGTAACGAAATATGGAGAAATGTAGCCACGGTCGAATTGCATTCCCTCGACGACATATAGACTATTATCGGCACTCTTTCCCTCCTCAAGAGTCACAACACCCTTTCTACCAACTTTACTCAATGCTTCAGCTATCATATTTCCTACTTCATAATTGTTCCCAGCACTAACTGCTGCCACATCTGCCAACTCACTATCTTCAACCTGCAATCACCCAACCGAAATCTCATCATGTCTCAACAAAAAAAGATGAGCAAACAATAAGTATATCAAAAAATGGGAAATTTATAGTTCTCCACGTGTCATGCTTACAGAAAAACACACAACAACGTTTGTATTTAAATAATAGGTAGATAAATGCTTCACCTCTTTTGACATCTTCTTAAGCTCAGACACCAGAGCCTTTGCTGTCTTCTCAATGCCACGAGTGATGAGAACAGGGTTGGCACCGGCCGCGACAACCTGCGAAAATTGACATAAAATGAGACCTATATACATGATAACAACTAAGACCAAACCAAGTAGCTATTACTCTATACTTTCAATAAAACAACAAACAAACCTACCTTAACACCTTCGGCGATAAGTCCTTGAGCTAGAACAACAGATGTCGTGGTTCCATCACCAGCCAAGTCGTTGGTCTTGGCGGCAGCTTGTCTCACCAACTTGGCACCAATATTCTCAACGGGATCCTCCAATTCAACCTTCCCGAACCAAATTCAGCAAATAAAATCAATAGAAACACAAACGACTAGCCACCTAAACACGAGATTCAAATAAAATTCTATCCGGCAGAACAAAGTAAATCATATTCAAAAAGAGAAATAACCATAAACGATAAAAAATTCAAAAGAAAAAACACCTCTTTGGCAACAGTGACACCGTCGTTAACGATTTTCGGCGAACCATACTTGCTTTCGAGAACAACATTCCTTCCTTTGGGACCAAGCGTGACCCCTACCAGATCCGCTAGCTTGTTCACACCGCTCTGCAAAACAAAAACAAAACAAAACAAAACGTCAATAACTGCGAAACCTGAAAACGAGAGTTTTCAAGCAGGGTACACTGCATCTACCTGGAGTTTCTTGATTGCGGTGCCGTCCTTGTTGAAATGCAGCTCCTTGGCCATGGCGGAGACCCTGGCGTTGCGGCTTCTTCTGGCGAGAACGACGCCATTGGATTGACGGCGAGAGCCAGAGAAGGGGAAGGAGGAGATGGCGGCGGAGGAGGAGAGCTTGTATGAGGACATTGCAGAGAAGGTGGAAGCCATGGCTAGGGTTTAAGGAGGGTTGATGAGTGTCGTTGTGGATAACGTAAACGCTTTGGAGTGTTGAGGGTGGGGAAATGGGTAAGGGATTAGGTTTTATTGTTACAATGCAAGAAGGTGACGAGGGATTTGGTCTTGAAGGTTCTGTTTCATCTGGGCCGTTCGATTCTCAAGGGGGCCGTTGCTCTTGTCGTACACTGGAATGCTCTAGAACTTTTGAGTTCTTTGTTAAGGTTGGGCATTGGTTGTTAGGAAAATGAATTGCCACTTGGGTTAGGTCAAGCATTGAGAAATGGTAAGCTTTGCAATTTTCTTTTAATCAAGTAGAAGCATACACTATTAACACTATTTTTCTAGATTGTTTAGAATTTCTTAAAATTATATAGTTATAAACTATGTTTGGCTTTCATCACAAAGGAATAAAAATGTTGATTTAATGCGTTTATAATGTAAGTCCTTTACAAATGAGCTTAATTGATTTAAAAGATGAATGTGTCCGCATTAAGTGGGACTCAATTACCTATCTGATAATGTTGCGCTTTTTTCTCATTATGGAATAATTTATGGGGTTTCAAAATTTAGGAAAAAACTTATGCAATGCTTAAGATTATATGACAAATGATTATTTATTTAAATAACTTGTTATTATTCGATTTGGTTCGAGGTACGTATTATAGACATGTAATCAAAATTTGAATCATTATAAAAGAAAGATCCATTTGTAAAGACTTTCTTATCTCAAATTAGTAAAAAGAGATATATAAATATATAAAAGTAAAGTATATGTGAGATCGTTATATTTTGTGTGATAACATGTATATTAGAGATATTAGAAAATCAATTATTATATCCTAATATATTGAATATATAATAAAATATGATAAAAAGTTATTATATTATATGATATTTGTTTTTTTAAAATCAAATATATCCTTCAAAGATTTTTCTTTCACGAATCATTTACACCATCGGATAATGATTTTTTAGTATTATGTTTCAGTCCTTACACTTCAAACAATACCATAAGGAGAGATCCTACAAAAAGTTTCTTCGATACGAGTCAATGATTTGATCAGAGCTTTGAAGTTAAATCTCCATTAATACTAAAAGTGAAAGCAAATTACTATTAATGTTGTATTTATATTGTTTTTACCTTATTGACCAAGGGTTCAATTGGATGGGTCACATTTTTGTGGACCCATCAACCGTGAAACTCATTTATCTAATTATATATTTCAAGCTCAATCATAAGCTTTAACCATTTAAACAGTACATTCATTCTATTAATTAGTTAGAGGACACTAGTTCCAAGTATCTAGATTGGGGTACCCAGTTCCCGGTACTTGGTACAGTCCTTATTTGGAAGGGTCAAAGAGCCTTTAGCCCTACCTAGTACATGAGTCTCTCATTCTTTACATGACTACAAGACGTGTAAAGAGTGCCTAGTGTCTAATATGACCGAAGCAACGTTTTGATCCCGGTACTTGGTTATGATATTTGCAATATAAGCTTTTGTAAAGAAATATTGTCATCTTTAGCCTTACCACTAAAGATATCTTCACCAAACCGCTAAAGAAGGAAGTTTTTATGAGGTTGAGAAGTTTTCTTAGAGTATAAAATAAAGTGTAAGAGGGGTGTTGAAATGTAAATTATTTTCGTGAACAACAAGTCAACAATAGCTTTAGCAAAAAAACCTAGTCTTCCATTATTGAAGTAAGCACATCCACACCCATTATCATTACATTAGAGAATGCATCAACAACAAGGATGTGCAAATGGAATACGTGAAAATGCATGATCAGGTAGCAGATATCTTTACCAAACTGTTAAAAAAGAAAACTTTTATGAAGTTGAGAAGTTTGCTTGGAGTACAAAATAAAGTTTAAGAAAGGGTATTGAAATGTAAATTGATTTTGTGTTTTTTGGCCTATAAAATGAAAGCCCAAGATTAGAAAATGCCCAAATATAATTCTAGAAAATCCTATCTAAAAGGAATTTAGAATGATATACAAAAATATCTAAAGATGCTTATCTATAAGATGTCTCTAGATGAGTTTAAAATTATAAGAATGTTTTAGAAATATCTAAATAATGAATAATAACCCTTAGATTAATGTTGTGGTGACAAAATCTTAATCATTGATTAAAGAAGTGCCACTTATATAAATAGGGATGATTAGATCATTTATGATCAAACCAAAAGAAATTAGAAGCATTTAATATAATAAGTTTTTCCTTCTCTCAAAATCTTCCAACCTCTCCCAATTTTTAAACACTTCCCTCTAACCTCTAAATCTTCCTTCCAACACTACTGCATTATGAGGAAATGGCACCGGTTGCTTTTGTGTATACGCACCGGTTTTACAATCGAAGCATATTCAGACGAGGTAATAAGACATAGGTTTTATGCCTCGGTTATGAACTGAGTCAGAAAGGAATGGATTATGCCTCGGTTTTTAGGTAACCGATGCGGTAACTTGTTTATTTTTTTTTTCAAATTTTAAGATACCGATTCACTGTGAAATGATCTTCTGATGTTCCTAAAGCTGGTAAATAGCCATCCTCATCTCCTTGACATTATTTGTTGACCACTGCTACCTTCAAGCTCAGATTCCCCAAAGCTTTCCTTCCTAATCACCACTTTCCTCACTTCTTGCTCCTCCTTTGGCTTAGGCCTCATCTCTTCACTGTTAGCCAACCAATAAGCCTGTTTCAGTAAGAACAACAACACACAAAGCATAATAAGAACTCAAGGCTTCATTTTGGGGGTTCATAGCATAGTAAGAACTCAAAGCATGTTTCAGTAAGAACAACAACACATATATAAACGAAGTCAAACATAATATCACACACACAGAGAAGCTTCGCGAAGATCCTAGGCCTTCGCCGCAGGAAATGATTCGGAGGTCGTCGGGGGACCACTGAAGGTGGTCGATGTGCCTGGAGAGGACTCTGAACTCCTTCAAAACGAATTCGTTTCACGTGCCCCTGATCCTAACGGTACCGGAGGCGTCGGCGGAGGCGACCCACTCGCCGTTGAGGGAGAAACGCGCGATGGTGGCCGAATAGGCATGTTCCCCGTAGACAGAGACGTGAAGGAGATTCCGGAGGCTCACAATGACCACAGATATGGCATTGGTGGTGTCTTTCACGTATTGGATGTCCTCGTGCCTCCATACGCGCTGCGAGTCCGACGACGGGCGGAGGGATTGCGGTTCGGCAGGTGGTGGTGAGGATTCCGGCGAGGGTTCTAGCGGCGGGGATTTGGGCTTGATAGGGTAGGAAACTGGTTGGATGATGATGGGTTGGGAGGGTCTTGCGGGAGGGTTTGGGTTAGAATCGGAGGAAGAGCAGAGAGATCGGTGAGAGGTGAGAACTGGAGCAGCGGTGTCAGTTGTCGGAGGAATAAGCGGCAACAGCGAGAGAACTGGAGGCACCGTGGAGTCCTTGGAAGAAGCACCGGCGAAGGGAGGCACAGACCAACAAAATGGCTCGGCAGAGAGGCAAAGATGAGAGAAAAATCTCGTGCGAGAGAGAAAGAGAAAAGCCTTTTGCAGATTTTAACCTAAGGGCCTAATTTTGCAGTGAAGTCTGAAGGCCATTATGCTTCGGTTGGGCCTGTACCTGAAGCAGTAACGCATATTATGCCTCAGTTCTGAGTTGAACCGAGGTGATAGAGCTTTGTCAGAAAAAAAACCCCTTGGCAGTGGTGAAGTGACATGACTTTTATGCTTTGGTTGTCCTTCTACCCGAGACAGTAACAAACATAGGCACCGGTTCAAAAATAACCGAGGCATATAATCACTCAGTATTTACAAAACTGCCACCACGCTTTTATACGCTTCGGTTTCAGTAAAACCGAGGCGTATATAGCGCGTTAAAAAAGTTTTTTTTACTAATGCAACCAACCTTTCTTTGATTTTATTATAGCAATTTTTTTATCGAATGTTGAGAATAATTTTTTGTAGTGCGAATTTTTTCCATTACAAATGTAAATAATTGTAAAATTTCTATGTTTATCCTGAAACTGCATATTAATGGAAGGAAGAGTGTTTATCTTCTTTTTTCATTAACTCTAATTTATTTGATAAGATTTGAAGTGTCGGTTTCTCTTGTACTTAGATTAACAAAATCAGATTTCTAAGAGCTAACGAACATTCAAATAGATGAAATGGTTAGTGTATCGTACGGTCCTCTCATGTACCGTACGATCCTCCCACATGGTCGTCGTACCGTATGGTCCTCCCATGATCGTCCTCCCAAGCTGACCTCCCAGGTCATCCAGCGTCCTCTCAGGCTGTCTTCCTAGGCCGTCCTCTCAGGCCGTCCTCCCATGGTCGTCCACCCAAGTCCTCCTCCCATAGTCGTCCTCTCAAGTCGTCCACCGTCCTCTCAAGACGTTCTCCCAAGTCGTTATCTCATGGTCGTCCATCTAGGTTATGTCAAGTGGTAATGACTCATTAAGCCCTTAATATAGATTAAGGTGTGATTGGGTCGTCATTAGGCCAACGAAAGGTAAAGCTCCATCACAACTAGTATAAATAAAGGTCTCAGGTATGACTTTAGGATCACGATGCACGATATATGCATTACTGACTATGCCAACCATTCAGTTATATTACTTACTTAAGCATCGGAGTGCCTTTGACAGGTACCCACCCACACGGCTTGGACAAGAAGGAAGAAGAACGAACAACGTCACTTAGAAGATGGAGAACAACTAGGGTGTCCGTCCGGTCTTTAAGACAACTTGTATTACTTTGAATAAGGTACTTCAACCCTATATCCGAAACAGTTAGTATGATGAAGTGATTGAGTTGTACATTACACCATTTATAAGCAGAACCGATGTAAAGAAAAATATTTTCTAAAATCTAGATGGAACGTTTAACATTTAAACGTAGAAAATAAACCATGTAATATGTGATTTGTATAATTATAAATTTATATAATGAGAGATGATGAATTTTGTATAAGATTGAAAATTATTTTTTATTTCAATGTCAAAATTTAGATCACCTTAATTAGGTAGTTTATATTTATTTTACAAAAGAGAGCGACTAAGTTATAGTAGTGTTTTTCGAAAAAAATAGAAGATATTTTCTAGAAA